TCCCATGTCCCAGCCCGGAGCGACGGCATGAAGAAATCCTCGTATTCAGGTGAGCTCTCGCCTGTCTTTGTGTCTGTACTGGGGAAAGGAAAAGGTTAAAAAAACCCCAGGTATGAGGTGCACCATCCGTCCTGGCTGTTTCACTGTGTGTAAACCAGTGGAAAAGGCTCAAAAAGCAAAGCAAAGGCAGAGCCTGGCACTGGGGACACGGACTTTGTTATCGGAAGGCGCCTGTGCCAGCACGGGTGACATCCAGCACCGGGCGGCAGCGTGACATGGGAACAGGAATTGAATTGTGTGTGACACTGCCTGCCCTGGGAGTTTCCAAACAGGCTGGAAGTACCCATCAATTGTCCAATTTATGGGATCCCCTCATGCTGGGGGGATCTATTCTCCCTTCTCCCCCTTTGCCAGCTTTGCCCTGTGGGGTGAGGGCATTGTGCTCTCGCCTCTCCCTTTGTGTCTGTACTGGGAAAAGGAAAAGGTTAAACCCCCCTCAGGTGCGAGCTGCACCATCTGTCCTAGCTGTTTCACTGTGTATAAATGAGTGGAAAAGGCTCAAAAAGCAAAGCAAAGGGAGCAGGGCAGCTTGTTCCAGGCAGAGCCCGGCACTGGGCACACGGACTTTGTTATCAGAAGGCACCTGTGCCAGCACGGGTGACATCCAGCGCCGAGTGGCAGTGACATGGGAGCAGGGCTGTGTGTGACACTGCCTGCCCTGGGAGCAGGAATTGTGTGTTACACTGCCTGCCCAGGGCGTTTGCAAATGGGCTGGAAGAGCCTGTCAATTGTCCAATTTATGGGATCCCCTCATGCTGGGAGTCTCTATTCTCCCCCTCCTGGCTTTGCCAGGCTTGCCCTGTGGGGTGAGGGCATTGTGCTCTCACCTCTCCCTTTGTGTCTATACTGGGAAAAGGAAAAGGTGAAACACCCTTCAGGTACGAGGTGCACCATCCGTCCTGGCTGTTTCACTGTGTATAAACCAGTGGAAAAGGCTCAAAAAGCAAAGCAAAGGCAGAGCCTGGCACTGGGGACACGGACTTTGTTATTGGAAGGCACCTGTGCCAGCACGGGTGACATCCAGCACCGGGCAGCACTGACATAGAAACAGGGCTGTGTGTGACACTGCTTGCCCTGGGCATTTCCAAACACGCTGGAAGTACCATCAATTGTCCAATTTTTGGGATGCCTTGATGCTGGGGGACTCTTCTCTATTCTCCCTTCTCCCCCTCCTGGTTTTGCCAGGCTTGCCCTGTGTGGTGAGGGCACTGTGCCCTCTGCTCCTTCCTCCCCGCTCACACAGGGTGTGCAGCCATGCCTGGTGTTGTTCCTCTGAATTCCCCATGAAACCCTGTCCCAGGAGGAGCCTGGTGCACCTTGGGGTGGACAAGTCTCCTGTGAGAGGTGCCCTGCTCACCCTGCACAGCTCAGGTGGCTCTGGCAGCTCCTCCAGCTGCTGGACTTTGCTCTGCAGCTGATTTCTGCCCTGCTCCAGGCACCAGCCTGTGGTTATGCTCTGCAAGCCAAGTTCTGTCCTGGTTTCACCCTGCCCACTGTGGGGATGTGGTGTCATCAGGCCAGCATCCTCCTAACACCCCAACTGATTCATGAAAATCCTTTCCTTAAGAATTTTTCCTCCTGAGAAGCTGACGGGCCTCAGAAACAAAATGCAAACATTGATTATCTGCTGCTGTGGAATGCAACAGGTGCAACTGGGATTGGTCTCATGTGGTTGTTTCTAATTAATGGCCAATCACAGTCAGCTGGCTTGGACAGAGAGTCTGGGACAGCTGCCTTTGTTATAATTCTTTCCTACATTATCCTATTCTTAGCTGGCCTTCTGATGAAACCTTTTCTTCTATTCTTTTATACTATTCTTTTAGTATAGTTTTAATGTAATATATATCATAAAATAATAAATCAAGCCCTCTGAAACATGGAGTCAGATCTTCGTTTCTTCCCTCAGCCTCAGACCCCTGTGAACACCATCACACCCATGGTCACTTGTTTTGGGGAATTTCCCTGGGAATTCAGATTGTTTCTCCAAGACATGGATGTGCAGGGTGCTGCAGGGCCTCTGGGCTCTCTGCTGTCTGTCAAGGGAGCTGGAGATGTGACAAAGTCACTTCTCAGCTGCAAAAGCTGATGCTGACAGCCTCTGGCAGGCTGGAAATGCAGTGCCTGGTTGAGAAACTCCTGAAAATGATGGCAAAGGAAAAAAAATGAACATCTAAACACCTTTTGAAGCAAGGTACTTGTTATATCTGGCCTGATTTGTCCCTCTCTGGCATACTTTGGATCTCTTTTGTGGTCTGGGTCCCCCTGAACCTTGTTTGAGCCTCCAGCTCCATCCTCCTCCATGAGCAGTGCTCTCCTGTTGGGCTGTGCCCTGCCCCAGGCAAGATTTACCTTCCCTAAAGCACTTCAAGGGCAATCCCAGCCCATCTGCTGTGACTTCTGAGCACACACCATGTATGAAGAGTTTACTTTGGTGTGCCTCAGCTCCTGGGAGCAGAGAGGCTCAGTGAGACCTTTGTGCCATGGCCATGGCATGTGGCTCATCCTGGCACTACTTTTGTTCCTGGAGCTCCTGCCAGCAGCAGCAGGAGGAGGGGAGAGCATGAAACAGGGATTTTACACTGCAATAACTTCTACTGAAGCCAGCTCTTACATGTGTGTCTTGGGGATGTCTGTTATTTCAGTTGCTGAAGGCAAACTTGCCCTGGAATTCTACTTTTTAAGGATTTTTTGTTTCTCACTCTCCATTACTCAAGCCCAATTGCATAGGCCAAAGAAGCAATAGGCAGGATTTGTGATAAATGACATGATGATTTTTAGGTATTCATTAGGATGGTTTCAGTTTCAGGTTTATGTGAGATGCTGGCACTCACTAAAATAAGGATCACCAGAATTACAGCACCACCAGAATTATTCACAGTAGTTATGTGTCACCCACCCTCACCTGAGCTGCAGACTCCTAATTTATTGTTTAGGCACTTAGGGAGAAATAACTCTTCATATATGAGCTAAAACTATAGGAAAAATTACAGGAAGAACAGTGGGAGCAGTGACTCCATCACTGAAGGAGGATTTTCCCATATTGTGACTCGTAAAATGATTCCCTATAAAACATGGGAAACAGAATATAAATCAAATTGGATTTGCTGCTGCTGTCTAGAGAATTTGTGGCTGTCTCATCCCTGGAAATGCTCCAGCCAGGCTGGATGGGGCTCTGAGCAACCTGGTCTTGGGGAAGGTGTCCCATGGCAGGGACTGCAATGAGATCATCTGTAAGGTTCATTTCACCCCAAACCATCCTGTGATCCCACCTCAGAAGCTCTGGGGATCAGCTCTGTCCTCTGATGGTTGGTTTGGAGTGTGCAGGGTCCCCTCCTGCCCAGCCCCATCCTGACCCTGGAGGTGCCACCTGCACCTGTGGGCAGGTAAAGGTGTGGTTTGGTTTGTGCCCCACCAAAGGTTTGTGCTCCAGGACATCCAGGGAGGGAAGAAAAGCACAGGAGCTTGTCTCTGTCATTTTTGGAGAAAAGAAATATCCCTTTGCTGGTATTTCTTCTCCTGGGAATCTGAGAAGCCTCAGAGGAGATTGAAAACAATAATTCTCTGATTGCTTCTCCTGTGTTTTGCTGCTTTGGAATGTGGTCTGGAGATTGTTTATCCAACAGGTGCTTGTTTGATTGGTTTCATGTGAATTGTTTTTACTTAATGACCAATCACAGCCAGCTGTGTCGGGAGTCTGGAAGCAGTCATGAGTTTTCATGATCGTTCTTGTTAAGCCTTCTGTCTGTATCCTTTCTCTATTCTTTAGTTTGGTGAAGCATAATATAATATAATATAATATAATATAATATAATATAA